AATTATTTAAAAGTTAATTAATTTTATTTATTAGAGATTAAAATATTATATTAATATATTTACAAATTTGAATGAAATTTAGAATAAAAGATTGTTGCTTTGAATGGATTGTTTAAGCTTAGAAGATATCACCTTTTAGAATAAATATAATTCTATTATAATTTAAGTCAGTTATTAAGGAGATTAAAGCTTATTAGAGATCAAGAGGTATCTTTTTTTTGTAAAAAGAGGTATAGAAGTAATAGAATGAAGGAAGAGGGGAGATTTTCAAGAATAGAAAGACAAATTGCTTAAGAAGTTGTAAGTTTGGATATACTAGGATTTTTTTAGAGATTTTTTCTTTTTATTAGAAATTTTTATGTAAAAATTTGAGAATAGAAGATTTAGATTATAAGCTTTTCAATCGGAAAAAAATTAATCCGTTGAAATTTTAGGACAATTTGTTTATCAATATTTGAAGGTTAGAGGATTTTAGCCTTACGATTTGAAGGTTTGGAAGCTTGGACAACTCTTATATCATATTAAGATTATCTTGGAAGCTAAAATTTTAGAAATAGATAGATTTAGTTGTAAATTTTTCATACGTTTAAATTGCATATAATTTGGAGGTTAGATATACCTAGATTTTTTGATTATATTGAAAGGAGTTTGGTAGCTTAATAGTTTTGGTAAATGATTTTTGAAGAGGCATATATCAACCTACTCACCTTTATTTAGAGGGATTTTTTTAGAAAACAAGAAAAAAATTAAGTTAGATTTTAGCAAACTAAACTTACAAATCTCTAAGAAATATTAGAACAATGGTGAAGATTTTTGTCTAAATAGGCCTATTGCCAAGTAAATTTAAAGGAAAAACTTTAAATAAGGAGATTGGGTTGAGTGTGGAACATCAAAGGAAGATTTTTGGTTGACAAGTGATGTCCTTTGTAAGATTTTAAAAAAATCTTAGATCACTTGAATTGAATTTGTGGCAGAGTTTTAGTAGTTAATTTGGTGAGAAGAGGTTTGTTGATGGTGGAAATCCATTTGCCTATTTGATAATTCTTTTTCTATTTTTTTTGTTGGAGTTGAAGTTTGATTTTTTTGAAAGGTTGATTCATCTAGTATTGTGCTTCCATTAAGATCAACTTCATTTAAATTACACTTGAAGGTTCTAATTGTATTAAAAGAAATGATAAAAAATCAAATAATATAATAGTATATTTTTTAAAAAAAAATCAACTCTATTAGTGAATGTAATTTAATCTAAGCATAGTGCTTAGGCATTTTGGCAATCTTTATATAAATTTGAGATCATTTTTAAAAAAATTGTATTCTTATATTCCATCAACAGCCATGGATATATATATATATATATATATCCTATCAAAGAGATTCTTTTCCTTGACATAAATTTGGTGCTTCTATTGAAAGCATTTTCATAGAAATTGAAGTTAAAGAAGTGTGGAATAGAATTATGAAGCTAGTATACAAGTTTAAAGCATGAGAAAAAATTCAAGGATTTGAAAGAGACTTAGAAGAATAAGTAAGGTCCAATTGGAAGTAAATTTTGAAACCTTGTGCATTGTGACATTGATTAAAAGGATTTGGATTCATTTTATGAATTATTAATAAGTAATTTGAAGGATATTTGGAATTTGAGAATAATGGATGATTTTTGACGAGCTAATTCAAGTGATATAGAGGAATAAGTGCCAATGACTTGCTTTTGGCTTTGAGCATGTTTATGGATAGATAACAAAGGGTATAAGCTAATGAAATGGAGGTGATGAAAGTATTACAAAGCATTATCTACAAATATAAGAGATTTGATGGAAGGAACATTAGCAAGTTTTTCTAAGCATATGTAAAAATAAATATAAATTATCATACATTCGACTTCCTTGATATATGATTATCACTTCTTGCAGAACTTGTCTTTAGAAAGAAGGATAATATTATAAACATACATATTTATCTAGATAAGAAGTATTAAGTAGATGATAAATGTAAGTAGATTTGATAATATCTTGTAGTCAAGCTTCTTAAAAGCTCCATAGATGTGTATTTGACATTAGACATGTTTATAATTGATTAATAGGTTAAAAACTTGGCTAACAAATTAGTCATATGTTGCATATGTTAGTGGCTTGTGGTACAAATTGGTCATGTGGCACATATGTATTAAACTTCTCTTTCAAGTTAGATATATGTCTTATAAATTAGTCACATGTCAGAGAGCCTATAGAATGTTGCTACATAGCTCTTAATTAGATAGTATATATGGAAGTAAGAGTGAAGCTTTCTTCATTCTTGTCAATGCCTTTCTAGTCCTTAGTCTTATTTCAAGAGTCTCTAGTCTTCTTGTCTTTTGCAATAGCCATTTTAGTTTCAATATAACACTAATTATGAATAAATGTCTATTCTTTTTGAGTGACAAAAGACTGTATTGAGGTTTTATTTCTTTATAATTCATATCCTTGATACACTTTTATTTTTATTTTTTTATATATTTTATGATTTTCTATTTAAAAAATTACTAAGTAGATCTTCTTCTATTATTATGTGAATACAATCTATTCAATTGTTTTAATTTTTTTAATTTTAATTTTTAAAAAATAGTATTATATTTCTAATTATTTATAAAATTTAATCAAATAATTTTATATTTTCTTTTCTTTGCCATGGAACATACATCTAAATTTTAATACAAAAAATTAATTATTTAAGAAAAAAAATAAGTTATGAATTTATTATTATTATTATTATTATTATTATTATTATTATTATTATTATTGTTTTATTTCTTTTATTTCTTTTTTTCTTTAGAATCTTTTTTGAGAGTAAGAATATGATTATCAAAACATAAAATTATTAAAAAATATTCAATCAAAAATAATATTTAGGTAGAAATTTCTTTTTATTAAATTTAAAGTATATTATATATTTTAATAATGTAAATAGCTCAAGTTTATTCATAACAAAGTAATGTTTGTATCTCTAATATTAATTTGTATCATAATATAGAAAAGTAAAAATAAAAATAAAATATTAATATAAATAATAATTTTTAATATATTTTCACGTATGCACATTAATTCTAAGTATAATATCTTCACAAAAATAATCAAAATAATCTAAGAGATTAAAGATTATATTATAACCAATGATACTATATAAAGAATAAAAAAGAATATATATATAGATATATATTTTATTAATTTATAAAAAACATTTAAAAAAATTAAATCAATATTATTAATTTAAATGAAATTACAAAATTAATAATCACAAAATTTTGAATATAACATAGTAAATAAGTTTTGATTTTGTTTCTAAGTGCAATATGTTTTCAAAGTTTATATCAATTCTAATCTAATAAGGTAATTTTCGATTACTCTATACTGAAAATATTTTATTCTTAATTTTTTTCATAGAATCTTCTTTAAAAAATATTTGATACTAAATTAAATTATTTCTTTTAGAATTAATTGAACTAAAATCAAGTCTGACATGTTCATTTTCTTATTAATGAAAGCACTTTAAAATAGATTAAATATTTTTAAAATAATAAAATAAAAAATATTGAATTATGAATAATTTTAAAAGAAAAAAAAATAGACTCCAATATTTTATATATAAAAATGAAGAATCTAAACTTGAATCAAAAAATAAAAATACTTTTTTACCTTCTATTTTTTGTTTAAAACGAATACCTTAATACCAAATTATCGGATAGATATGGAATATTAATAATTAGATCTTAAATAAATTTACTAATTTTAAATAAAAATAATTTTTATATAAATTTTCAATTTAAAAATATAAAAAATATATTTTTTAAAAGATAAGCACTAGAAGTTATAGATCTTAAAAAGGATTGTAGACTAGATAGCAAAAAAGAGTTAATATATTCTAAACTGATAAAGAAACATGCATATCTTAATTTTTAATTTTTTAATTTTTTTGAATAAAACACGTAAAATATTTAAAGGTATATAAATTTTAAATCAATAACACCTTAGTTATCGAGTTTGAAATTGTGTTGTGAAAAATTTGTCTAATATAATTCTTAAAATCATTTAAGATAAGGGTGGATTGTCTTCCACCAAAAAACGATACATAATTTATTTTTTTTAATTTATAGATGGAAAAGTATATTATAGCTTGTTCAATTTTGTAAAAGATAATATATAAAAGATTCGATTGTATATAGTAGAATAATTCTAATCTATTATATGACTTTAAATCATTTTTAAAATTTTATTTTTAGAATGATTCTTTAAAAAAAAATCTTAGCTAAGTTTTAAGTACAATGAAATTATAAAATATGTAAAGATGAGTTTTTGGCCAAGTGTACAAACTTAGTTATAGAATCATGCCATGAACAACGAATTCTATAATAATATCACATTGAAACTTTTAACAATGTTTTTGGATTTTAAATGTGTTGCATCAAGAACTTTAAAGGCATTATGATAAGACATGAAGATTTTAGAGATGATTTAGGAGATAAAACAAAAAAAAAATGAAGTCATTTAAGATTGATCCTATTATCTCCCTAAAAGATGAAATAGAAATAACACATTAATAAACAAGTAAAAGAATAGTAATGCTTTGTTATCACAATATATGGATATGAAATCTTTCCCTAATCTTAAACAAACAAACCTCAATTTGAATTATTAACACAAGAAGATGAAAAAAAAACTAAAAATAAAAATGTGCTTTAAAAAAATAAATCCAAACACACATAAATAAAATAGTCTAAATTACAATGACTTTAAACTACTAAAAAGAATGCCATAACAATAAAAGTTATTGGTTCAAATCTGAGTTATACAATCCTACATAATGGGCACTATCATATGAATAATCTCTTTCTAACATTTCACAACAGAAAAAAGGAATCATAAAGGAAAACAAGTAGAAAATGAACATTTTTCTGAGTTGAAAGGACTCATCCAAAGACTGCCCCACTAAGTCACCTCACAATGCTAGAAAATCTGTCAATTCTGGGGTCGTCGGTGTCATCTCACCAAACGCCATCGACAAACGGTTTTGTTCGAGAAATTTTTTCGCTGGGGAATTGCAGCCACTCGATTCTGTTGGGAGGGGGGCAATTCAATTGCGCACCACATTGCCGATGATCCCTTGAATCAGACTGCGGTTGCGAGTGGCTGTGTGTGTGTGTGTGTGTGTGTGTGTGTGCTCGTGATATTGTGGCTGCTAGCTGGAGTTGATGGAGAAGAGCTGGACGTTTTGGTCGTGTTTGGAGAGGATTACGGACGGAGGTGTAATTCATCCATTTAATTTGCTGGGAGATTTCAAGAGAGTATGATTCTTTGACTAATGTTTCAAAAATCAGCAGGTGGACGTTTTGGGTCATCTCTTAAAACATAAGTGTAATACAATTTAGAACTAGTTACCTTCACAAGCGATCTTGGTTACAAATTTTGTCGCATGAAGTAGATTAGGATGAAAGCGATTGTTGTGAATTGTATGGACACGGTGCGTTAAGGGTGTCCATGTACCTTGTCGAGGCGCATTCCTTGGAGAAATGCATTCGAAGCGACAGGAAGACTGAGGAATGCGAATCCTTGCTGATTCTTCTTATCGTTTAGGATGGTTACCATTCCAGATTCTGGACGAGTTGAGCTTTGTCTGTGCATGACGATTTTGTTCGGTTCTTAGCTCACTGCGTCATGCTCCATTTTTTGTTGATAATCTACATGCTGCTGGACTCATACATTTACAAATTGGGGTCGTCTAGCACAATTCGAACAATGTGAAGCAAAGGAGGTAATAAAATTAGCTCATAGGTTTTTTTTGGTGAGTTGCAGCTATGGTGTCTTTGCTGGTGGCCTCCAAGGCCGACCCCGCCTCTGTTGGTCCTGCTTCCGCCCTTTTATCTCTCTGCTCCTCATGGAGCCGAGGGCCTGAAGTCGACTACAACCCCACGTATAAAACCGGAAACGTGCGCATGATTCAACTACAAGAGCACATGGTGCATGAGGACTTTTTGGAACAACGATGGGAGTCACAGACAGGGGAGAAAGTGAGTGAAATAATCTTCATGAGCAAGCACGGCGCGGCATCCAATCGACCTGCACTCACAGTGCATCCAATTGGGGTACCACACTTGATGAAGCATGAAAACCCACCTGCAGGAGGCAGAGCAGGAAGAGTCTCACCACCGAATCCACGCATTGGCCCCTGGTTTCGATTACTAAAATCCTTGTCTGCCACGAACAAGCTGTTGCCCGAGTTTGAGGTCACACTTGAGGCAACACATCACGGGCCATGGACAGAGTCACCAGCAATGTTTGTGGAGATTGGGAGCACGGAAGAGTACTGGATGCGGGAGGATGCAGCTGCCACCATAGCCTCCGTCTTCCTCAAAGGCTTAGGGTTAGATGGAGGCCAGGCATATGGGTGTTGGTCTGAGGAAGAGCATAGAGGACAGAAGGTTTTGTTAGGATTAGGAGGAGGTCATTACGCCCCCCGACATGGAGATATTGCTCAAAAGGAAGGTGTATGGGTTGGGCATTTGCTCTCAGGTTACTCTCTGCTCATGACTGATCCAGGCTCTTCTTCTAATCTGAAGGACTATGACAAGGTTGGTGGCACATGGAAGGAGGCTATCCTTGAGGCAGTTGCAGCAACGAAGCTGGCATTTCCGGGAGGAGAGGTGGTTGTCCACCTTGATGGTAAGAGTTTCAAGGCATGGCAAAGGAATGCCATCACCTGGTTCCTGGACAAGGAAAACATCAAAGTAGGAAAGCCTGGCGATTTCACTAGTTGAGATTCTTCTATTGCTCTTGTCCAACACACAAGCACGTCAGTGGCATTAAAGTGATTGGTTATCTACCACTCTTCGTTTTAGTTCAAGGTTGTAGGAATAGGCCTTTTAGCTTCATTCATCACACATATTTCTTTTAACATAATGATGTACACAAATACAGGGGGAGGAATTGACAGTGTGAGGAAGTAAGAAAGCAGTATTATTGAAGAGTCCATCCGCCAATATCAACTTGAATGTTGAATCTGATTTTTAAATGGTGATACCTAGCACTTTCCCACTACAGTCTAAATTGAAAAAGGATTTCAGAAATCAACATGTATTGGCAAGAAAATTTTTAGTAGTATAAAATAAAGAGGTCACTTAACAAGCTGTGCATATTTTAGTGCAAGGTCTAATAGTCCTTGGTCTTTATTTTTGTTAAAGTTGTTAGGTAGAACAAATAATTATGTAGAGTAGGAAGGATCAAACCAAACTACTAGAAACTAAAGAAAGATAACATTCTTCAATCAATTTTTGGTATAGTAGATGCTCTATTTTTAATCACCATTACTATTGGTATTTCTCTTGGATCATAAAATTTGGCTTCACTTAGTGGAAGAATGCAGGTTTTTTTTCAAATATAATAAATACAAAGATGGAAATGACAAAGAAAAAATAATTATCTTAATAAGCTCTTTACTTGAGTATTTGATTTAATTCATAGTTTTTTCTTAGATAACAATAGTATGGATCATATTTAAATTAAACCTTTGTTGAAACTTTTGAAGTAGAAAATATACATAAAAAAAATAAATTATATAAAAGAAATAAAGTATAGACAACAATACAAGCACATATAAAAGATAATGTAGGGTGAATACTAAGAGGATATTAGAACATAATATAAAAATAAGTTAAATCTATTAATTATAACATACATATGGAACAAGATTTACAAAAAAATATTTAAAAAATATTTTGTTTTATCAATTTATTTTTATTTTTATGATGTCAAAATCTTTTAATAAAGTTTTGTATAGAATAAGAAAGCTCAAGCAAAGAGGAAGAAATCATTGTATCAAAAAAGAAATATTTAAATTTCCACTTTGGTCTATATAATGTATAAAATAACTTTAATAATTCTTAAATGTAGATTTCGAATCTATATTGAAAAAAATAGTATTATATTTTGAATCACAAGTAAATAGTCAATATTTTGAAAAAGACTCTTATCTTTTAAAAAATAAAATAAAAATTTTAAAACAAATTTTAAATAATAGATTCTTTAATTGAAATGATTTTAATAAGAAGAATTTTTTTCTTACAAAGATATTATACACTGAATAAGAATTATTTCTCTTTATCTCAAAAAGTACTTAAAAACATATTTTAAAAATTTCTTTAGATATTATAGAGATTTTTTATCCTGCAATACTAAACATAAGAATCTAATCTTCTATCAAAGAAAATTCTACTATAAAAGAATTATACAATGCAATAAAATTCTTAATCAATAAAATAGTAAATTATTTTTTATTAAATAATCCTAAAATTCATTGCTAAAAAGTTGATTATTTTTATCTTTAAATATAGAGACATCTTATTTTTTTCTAAAAACAACTAATCTTTTTATTTTTTAAATACTATTCATATGATTTTTTTTGAGATTCTTCAATGAAGAATTATAATTAATATTGTTTTTATTAATAATGAATGAAAATCAAATTTCTTTTCTATTACTTTTATATATTGTAAAAATTATGATTTCAACATATGAAGCTATAATCTAGTTATAAGAGTTTTTTAAAAATTGGTATTTATACAATATATTTTATTAATATTCTATATTAGACTTTAATATTTAAAATTATATATTATTTTGAATTTAAGATTTAAAAAATTTAAAGTTCTTAATATTGATAAATCTTATATTTAATATTTATAGATTTATAGATTTTTCTTTTATATAGGTGTAAAAACAAAATCTATCTATTTCTTAGTATTAAAAAAATCATAAATTTTAATCTCAAAATTTCTATACAAATCAAAATATTAAAATAAAAAAAAATTAATAAAAAACATCACGAAATAATTAAATCTTATTTAGAAGATTTTGAAATGGTTGTAGAAACAAAGTAATCTAATTTAAATGAAATAGTTGAAAAAATAGATAGTTATAATTTATTTTCACAAATTAGGATAAATCAAAAAAAATCAACAAGATTACAATCTTCTAAATCATACCAATTCCATTAGATAAATATAAAACAAAAAACATAGACTAACCTAAGAACAATGAGCTTTCTATACATGACCCTTTTTGATAAATAACTAGATATCTAAAAAGTTAAAATTTCAAAGTTTAAGAATATAAAAGAATTAAAAAATCAATACTTTATATTTTTATATCTAATAAAATAGATCTTTAAAATCAACTATCTAGATTTTACATTAAAAATTTTCTAAATCATGTTGTAGTATGTTTATTTATATAAATTAAAATTCATTAGAAGTATTATAAAGATCTTTTTATAGATAAATAAATAAATATAATATTAGAACCAAAATAATTTGGCATCTTTTTTAACAATAAATTTTAAAAAATAAAAATAAATTATAGATCTATAATTGCTACTTAATATTATCTAAATTTTATAGGTACTAAATTTATCATGTTAAGATGTTCTAACTTATTTATTTTGTTAAGTTTCATATCAAATTTGATATTTAAAGGATCTGGATAGGAGTATCTATCTTTATATTAGCTAATAAAATCTTATCTATATATGCAATAAGATCTAAAGTTGAAAAAAAATATATGAAGATAAAATAAAATTATGCTAAGGAACCTAATAAATAAATAAATATATATATATATATATATATATATTTTTAACCATTTTTATGAATTAAAATTAACTAAAGCTTAATTAAATAAATATATCCAAAAAAAAAGCCAAAAATATATATTAACTAAATAATTGGTTGATCAAGTTATTATTTTATTCAGATTCTTGAATTTTTTTATCATAAGCTTTAATTTTTACTAAATATTACCTAAAATATAAAGATAGAAAATTATAGAACTTTATAACCAAAACAATCTTTGATAAAATAAAAAAATAAAAAAAATAGCATTGTATATTGAAATAAAATCATCTGATTTAGGTACTTAAATAGAAATTTATAATTATAATGATTTTAAGTAATTTTTTTTAATTTTTTAATTTTTTTTATTTTGGAATTAAATAAGATACATCTTTAAAAAAATAAAAAATAAAATAAAAACTTCAATGTAATACTAAAGAATCCATAGAATAAATATAAATATATATATATATATATATTAATTTAGAAAAAATATATAAATAAAATAAATAAAATATATTTATAATTTATTAATAGATAAAAGATTAAAATAATAACTCTTCTTATAAAAAAAAAAAAATTATAAGTAATGGTTTTATAATTATTAGGCCTTTATTATAGAGATTATTTTGGTTTATCAAACAAGTAAATTTAATACCTTTGATATAAGTAGGTGCTTAAGCTTAAGATAATTGCCAAAGAAATAAAAGAACTTCACATCTTTAACTACTTTTAATATAAAATGGTGCTCAAGATTGGCAATTTCTCAAATGAATTAGGCAACCTAACATTTTTTACTACATTTAATATAAGTGGATACTTAAGCTTGATATCATTGCCAAAAAAATTAGGCAACCTCACATCTTTGAATATGTTTGATATAAGTGGCTGCTTAAGCTTGACATCATTGTCAAACATATTGGATAACTTCTCATCTTTGACTTCCTTAGATATAAATGAATATTTAAGCTTGATATTGTTGCCAAATGAATTAGGCAACCTCACATCTTTGACTACTTTTTATATAAAAGGATTCTCAAGCTTGATATTATCTACAAATAAAATAGGCAACTTCACATCTATAACTACTTTTGATATAAATGCATATTCAAGTAGGAAATTATTGCTAAATGAATTAAGCAACTTCACATCTTTGACTACTTTTAATATGATAATAGTAATGTTCAAGCATAAAATCATTGCCAAATAAAAAAGACAGTCTCACATCTTTGACTACTTTAGATATAAGTAGGTGCTTAAGCTTGGCATTATTGCTGTTTGAATAATGTAACCTCACATCTTTGACTACATTTGATATAAGTAAGTACTTAAACTTGACATCATTGCCAAATGAATTAGACAATCTGACATCAAATATGTATACAATTAAATCCACATGATAATCAAAAGAGAAATATATATAAAAAAAAAAAAAAAAAAACTCAATGACAATCAATGAAGCACATTGATTTGGATCTATAACAACATGATTTTTTTTTCATGGTCAACTTTATATAACCCTCTTTTGATGCATTTCCTTCCATTCCATCAAGATTCTTCTTTTTGAAAATAAAAATTTAAATTCTATATTGAATATTTCTTTTCAAGAAGTTTTAATTAGATAGATATTAGTAATTTATTTTTTATATTTATATTTATATTTTATTTTACCCATAGTTCCAAATTTTGACTTTAGTACATCCTTGAATGTCTTAACACAATTTTATGCTTTTTAAAAGTAATTTAATGTTTTTTTATACTTTCACAAGTAGTTCCTTGAACAAAATTAACTATTTCTTTGCATATTATCCATGAAAATGGCATGGGTTTAACTATCCCACTTTATAGCTAAAACTTCCATTGTATATTTTATTTCTTTCTTTTCTAAAAATATTTTGACAAATATTTTTTTGGCTTACGAACATATCTTTCAAAAAAATGCTTCATTTGAGTCAAACTTTTTGTGACAACAACACGGATTCATCTAGTCTTTCTTTATGGGAAGTGTAATTGTGTGAATGTAAGAAGGATAAGTGTGAAGTGGTTTAGGGTACAGGGAGCTCATCCTTCTCAATGACCATCCTCTCCAAGCTGTCTCGTGTTCTCCCTTCTGCTTTCTATCCTTGTCTCTCCCGATTAGCTTCCAAGTCATGCTTCTGCTGCTGCTCTGAGCTGTAAGAGTGTTGAGATAAGTTGGGTTTATGAACTTGTGATGTTTGAGAATGAATTTTTCCATTTGTGAGAACGTGAGGAAAATTCTTTGAGTTTATTGATGGAAATGAGCTGCGGAAGCGGAAGTGATATCAACAGCGATTCTCAAGTTTCTTTGAACAGAGATCACATGTAATGTTTTGTGTTCGACGTAGTGAATGGGTAGAAAATCAGATTTGTTTGGTTTTACAAGAATCTGGAGTGGGAAAATATTTTCTTTGTTATTCTCTCAATTTACTATGAAATTCATGTTCAAGTCACCATAAGTTTTGGTTTTACTTAGAGTTGGTTTCTTCTAGAGATTAAAGTTACGCTTTGTATAAGTGGAACTTCCTTCGAGATGGCAAGCCTTCACAAACTCAAACGTCAACGGGTTGATTTGACTGGAAGTGAAAAAGGGAAGATTTGTGAAGTTCACCAGAAGCATCCAGAATTGAAACATGAGGAACTTGCAAAATACATGGTTGAATATCATGAGTTCAGATTGGTGAGTCGGTCAACCATCTCCAAACTCCATGATGAGCAGCAGAAGTGGTTGAAAGTGGACTCAAAGTTGCCAGAAGGAAGTAGCAGGAGATCCCGAGAACCCAAGTGGCCAGAATTTGCGAAAGCTCTGCCAACGTGGTTTGGCCAAGTAAGAGAAATGAAAGGAACATTGAGTGATGTGCTCTTACGAAAGGCACATGAGTTCCGAAGATTAATTGATATTTCAGAGCGTGATTTCAAGCTTTCCAATGGATGGCTTGCCAGATTCAAAGCAAGGTATGGGATAGCGGCTTACCGTGACTTTCATGGAGAATCTACAGATGCAGTTGCCCCAGGTGCGGCAATCACGATATTTAAGTTGCCCGATTTCGTCAATTGCCATAATGAAGCCGTCGAGGTTGATTACATTGGCTGATTCCAACGATGACAACGGTACTGATCCTAATGATATTGAGCCAAATATTGAACACAAGATTGAACCTAGGGCTGTGAAATTAAAAGATGCTCAATTATATGCTATGGAGTTAGTTTCATGCTGGACAATACCCAAACGTTTACGGCTGAAGAGATGTTACTGATCAGTCAATTACGTGACAAGTTTACAAAGATGCATGTTGCTCAGTTAATAGCTTCCAAACAACTTCGATATCAGCAGTGCTTTTTTGTCCAATGTAAATTCTATTATGTGAAGTTCTTTTAAAAATCAACTAACCTATTGAGCTTCAAATTTTCTTAGCAAGTGTTCTTGTATATATCCCCTTGTAGATAGCAGTGCAGAACAATACGTATCCCAATACTTTCACCAAGTGACCCGCAGAGCAACTAAGGATGCAAACCCCTGCCATAAACAAGCAAAGTTGCAGACCACGAAGTAGGAAAAAATTAGTGCTCACAATCAGACAAACAAGTCAGGAAAACTACAAACCACAGCACTACTAAGTAGGTTTTATAAAAAGAGAAGCAAACATTGCAAACTAGGGCCAAGAACTGAAACTCAAGTCTTGTCGAAGGCATTAAATGTCATGAACATTTGCGCACTGAGAGAACTTGCACGCTGTACCAAATATACCACATACCAGATCCAGATCGTCCCAGCCTACTCCATAAGTAGTAAATGTAATAACCAAAACATCAAGCATACCAAATGTTGCTTGACATTTGCGAAGTGAACCTTATATTCTGGTGGTACCTGCGCAAAGAACAACAGTTACTCCCGCCCAAAACTAGCCCCAACAGCCTCCAGAAAAGTCGCAATTAGAGGACCTCATCGACCTTCAAAATAAAATAAATAAATAAATAAAAGGGGTTCAAAAACTTCCGAAAGATGGAAACTGCCATTGAGATTATTTCCATGACTCGAATTATCCTAAAGTCCACGCACTCGGGTTTAAGCCCTCACATCACATTCTGACTCAACGCAATAAAGGATTGCGTGCTTCGAAACATTGACATCAATCGAAGCAGACCACGAAATAGAAAAAATCGAAAATTCTTATATTAAAACAAGAGAGTTTTTTTTTACATAGAGCCAATCTGCAGTAGCAAATGCTAGAATACGTCGCACTCAAAAGTGCGTACACAGAGCCCAGCTTCTGGGCACGATAATGTACAAATTGGTGCTGATCAATGACAAAGTTGGACTTCCTTTCGCTTCGTCCAGTTCCGCACCATACAGGATGATGAGCGACACAGCAAAAGCCCGCCTCCAGTGTACAACTCCGTTCTGAATCTGTGCGCCTCCAGTTCCTTGCTAATGGGCTGACCAACGCACTACCCTGTAAGAGCCGCATACTGCTAAAATCATGCTGCACACTCAATTTGAGCTTGACAAAAGCCTACGAGAAACGGGTCCTATCACGAGGATGCTGTCCCTGCCTCCCTCGATGCAGCTGGAGGATTATGATCGACTCCAGAACCCGGAATGCTGCTCTTCGTGATCCCACTTGTACCTGAAGCGCCAGCCATTTCGGACGAGGTTACCAAACTAGAAGACGACGCGGTGGGATGTCCTCCATGTGTCTGCCGCATCTACACATTGCCGCATGCTTCAGTATACGTTGCAATTGCAGTATCATAAAACCATGATTGTACACATCTCACACAGATAATGGCAATCCGCTTCATGCAAACCACTACTATGAGGAAACATTCACATTTACCTGCCCGCTACTCGCGGCCGGATTAGAAAAGTGTGTAGACACGCCTTGACGTGATTCAACAACTCCAGATTGTGAAGCACCAACTGCACTTGAACTAGTTCGGCTGGCCGGCATCGAAGAGCCTGCGGGAGGATTCACATGGCTGCTTGGTGTGCTGCCTACGCCTGCAGGATCGCCCACTGAACCATTCACCGGGTTTCTTTGACCACCCATAATACCTACCTGTGACCCTAGAAAGCCCCTTCCGTTCATCCCTGGACCTGCTCCTACTTTAAGGTTCGCTAACCCTGGGTCGCCTTGCACACCACCCACGCCTCGCGCCATGCTCCCTAAACCCACACCTTGGATACCTGAACCAGCCAGCGACGACATACCAGTGTTTCCATTTGAGTGCATGGTTGAACTTGCCAACATTGGAAATTGACCAGACACTGAACTGCTAGTGCGTGTTAAATTGTACATTCGTCCAGGTAGATGAGCTATTGCCTGGTTGGTTTTCCATTGGGAGCCCTGCGCTTCACCTGTGCTCAAGTTCAAAACAGATGGTAAGCCAACGAAATGAAAGTTCGGGTCGCTCATGCCCATCGGAATTGTCCCACCCAGCTGATACCGATTCTGTCCGGCCTGCAGTGTCATTTGGGAAGGACCACCCTGTCCCGTCTGCTGTGCACTCGTCTGCTTTACAACCGTTTTGCCGAGCTGACCCGGCATCGGCATACCCACGCTACTGCTAGGATGTCGCATTGGCAATCTGAACACAAGCAAACAAATTGAACACACTCAACATCGAAATGTGCAAATGCAATTACCTGATGGCTTCAAGTTCATCCAATATGCTACTAACAATACAACAATACCACTTACCTTCGAGGCGCTGCCGCCTGCGCAACATGACGACCCCATAACTGTTGACACTGTTGCGTTAGACCGACCGGAGACGCGGTCGATACCGCCTGTTGGCTTGAACTAGCGCCTGAACCAGCTTGCTGACCACTGGATTGTCCACCTGCTTGCGGCAGACTTCCCTGTTCTGCCTTGTTAATTACTCCCTGACATCAGCATTTCTATGCCTTCTTAAAATCCAATACAACTCATTTCTAAGAACTAACTAAAAACTCGCCACACTGTGTCCTTACATGGATGCGAACGGATCTTTTATAATTATAATAGCAACCTCAACCATACCTGCGCAGCTTGTTGGACTTGCTGGGACACCTTCTGTAAACCCACTACGGACGATACACTTGGTGATTGCACTCCATGTACTTGACCAACTTGACCACCCTGCGAACCGCCTGGGACGGTTCCAACCTGAGGTCCGCTCGCTGCCTTAGCAGCTTGGCCTACAGATTGACCTACAACTTTTTGTCCTGCTTGTAGCTGCCCGCCTGCTTCACCTTGCAATTGATCAATCACATTGCCAGACAAGGTGTTTGCCTGCCCTGGTCCTGTCTGAGGAGAAACACCCTGCATCAACTGCGTCCCTCTAATCCCACCCTTCCCATTCCTCAAATCCTGCTGCTGCACAACTTGCTGGGTTGTCTGCTGCGCTTGCTTCTGCATCTGTTTCGGCTGTGAATCCTTGTCTCCAGAATCATCTTGAGTTATCTGTACATCGGGCTTATTCTGCTGCACTAATCCAGCTGGAGAAGCTAGGGATGACTGCATGTTTGCCGAATCCAAAACTTGGGACCCCTGTGAAGGACCGCTAACTTGCTGCATTAAATGCTTTTGTAGAGTATTGTGTGCTTTTGGAGAGAGTATGTGGGATTGTGGGTTCAAGTTCTGAGAAGAGAAGCTGGGTACCCCCGGTTGAAGGGGAGAAACCACCATGTGCTGGGCTTGTGAAATAGCTGGATGACCTCTGAGTAATATTTGCTTCTGTTGCTGCTGCTGTCTCTGATGTTGCTGCTGTTGCGGATCTTTCATGCGAGTGAGTCCCGCATTATAACTCTGCGAGGATACTGGTAGCTGCAAATCGCGACGGTGCAGGATTACTATGCAGATCGTAGGTACTCAAAATGACCATCCCACACAGAGAAGACGACATGACCATGCGCACAACCACCCCCACAGGCCCATACTATCTTGAATCAGGGAAAAAACACCCCTTCACACACATGTAAGTTCATTGATCGCACATGTCAAAATATCAATTAACAGTTCACTACGCCATCTTAGGCACACAGATGGCGCACGTCCATACCGGCTGACTGTGTTGCTGCATTTGTGCTTGCAATTTGGTCGAGGAGTTGCTCGTATGCTGATGATGATGTTGCAATTGTCGATGCTGTCCTGGCTGCTGCTGCTGTTGTTGCTGCTGAAGTGATTGTTGGTGTTGTACAAACGACTGCTAAAGTAAAAATTAAAACATCTGTAAGCGCACCTACACATGCATATCGAAGTCTCCGCACATCTTCACCTCAAATTCATTCCACCTCAAGGGAGATTCAATATTCGCAAATACACTAAACAACTATTGAAACGCAAAAATGAGCCGATTCACACAGTAAAACGCAACAATCACCTGGTTTGACCCGTCCACTGCATTTGTCATATCACCCATCAGGCTAGATAGAGCAGAAGCGGCTTGTGTTTCGCCTTGTTGAGCCAACGACTGAAGCTCTTGAAGAACCAACAACCGTTGTTCCTCCGTGCAGCTCTGTAAAATCATCTCTGTTTTTCGTCATTTAAAGCTTAACACCCTATTAAAATACCCATATTTCCCTGCTTTTACCCACCCTAACATGCCTCAACAATCCACGATTCCCTCCACGTTCATTACTGCCAGCAAACAGTAAAGTCCAATAAAACCCCCACGACTAATACGTCATCTATTCAAGCAGGGAGAAATAAGATTACAACTTGCATGACTTATGCATGTCCCCATCTAAACATCAACACACAACTAAAATCCTACCAACATAAGTAATACAAACAAAACCAACCCCTGAACTGCAATGATCTTCCACTGTACCCAAGCTTTGCGAAAAGTTCCTCACCCGTGCCAAATTCACCAGCCCTGCGATTCTCCTCGTTCTGTTGGATCCAACGAAATTCCCTGATGAAGTGAGCATCCCGTTCAAACCAGCTGCATTCAAGCATCCTAAACCTGATCTTGGAAGGGACAGTCCATAGTTCAATTCTGTCACCATTGCCCCACTTGTACTGCTCGGCGACATGAGAAGTCCATTCGAATTTGACAGACCTCTAAGGACAGGTGATCCTGATGCAACTGAACCAGCCTGCTGTTGTACTCGCCGCGCATCGAACTCCGTTAGCTTGCTTGTCGCCATTTGCAACTTTGCATCCTCTTCGTTGGGAGGGTTTGTAGAGTTCACAGTGAACCTTTGACCATCCCTGGATTGTGAAACACTTATCCTAATGTAATTCCCACACCTTCATCATACAATACTTCTCATGGCATTCGCTGCATTGTATGCCACCATCTGACCAACGTTTCCAGCACGCATGGAAATCAAACTCCACTGACCCCACAATCAAGAAATGACTACAACTATGACTGAAACTCACAAACAAAACAAACAAACAATGCCAAGTATCAAACTATAAATCATATTCATGCAAAGTCCAGAGTCCCACGCAAGATTCGATACTGCAATAATCACGCCTTAAAAAATCAGATGAATATCTACTCACAACAATCGGCAAAAGTTGTGTCATTACCTAGAGGCAGTAGTGCTCATAAACGCAGGGGACACGGGACCTCCTACCAGATGCGAACTATTTGTGGCTTGCAACACAGGGGGGAGAGGATGTCCACCTGCTGAAGGTCTCATTCCAAGTCCAGGAATTGGTCCAACACTTTGAGCCCCCGCCACACTTCCCTGGAAACCATGTGCTAGGTGTGGAGTAAAACCGTCGCCAGGGCTCGTCACCCAGTCCGCCAATTGAACGGGACTAACATCCAATATATAATATGTCATGTCAGACTCTCCTCATGAATGCATCACACAAGGGAGGCACAGTTTGTTGCCAAAGCAATCCTAACCATTTATTCAACCATACCTTCTTTGTAATAAATTGGGAGGCTACAAAATATCAAGCTCCTACACACTGTTCCATACTTGAAATCCAAAATCGTTCACGCATATAATTACGGACATTCTCGCCAAGCACCTCAAATTATGCACAATAGACACCATAGAAAGTGACCCAGAACAACTGCAATTCACTTACTCAGGAGGAACATTGTAACAGAACTGAGAGATGACAACTTCGTGAGAAGGATGTGAAGATTGCAAGAGCTTTTGATCTTTACACTCACTCTGCAAGTACACACACACCGTATTAGGAGATAATCCGACACTGCTAATTGGTCACTCCGCTTGCAATGATATCACAGATGAAGTATATCTTAATGATCATCAAATCTGAAAAAAATCCACATCTAAGTTCCGTTTCATATCCTGCCGGAATACAAGCTTCTCACAGAAACCCTTCACTTTTCACACATTCAGCAATAAAATCGAACCAGAATGAATGCAATCTTTCTACGCCACATTAACTGCAACATATTCAAGAGCAATGATTAGAGTCTTCACCGGAGTTTTTTGAGCACCATACTTTTGCACAATTATGATAATTTGCTGAAAGTGCTTCAGGGTATCCTCCTCTGCTGCACACTGACCCCGCGAGTCCCGAACGATGCCCTGGAACACTCAATCATAGCTTTCACCGTTAGAACAATGACCCACTCAAAAGTTGCCACACAACGTAATTATAGCCTGGATGCGAAACACATAATACTCCAGGGCTATCGCAACCTAATTGTCCAAGCGCCTAGGATCATGCATCTGCAATAACTATTACTTTACTGCCTAATACTTCAGAAAATGCATGACATTTACTTTAGCGAACTGCTGCTGCGTTGAGGTAGGATCTTCCGAATTCTCCAACTCTTCCACACCTACTCTTTCCATCAGTGCTTTGTGCCTTTCTTTGCACTGCTGAGGTTTACGGTAAATACCCTGAATCACCACATGCAATAATGAAATGCTCAGATCCGATGCACTCCAGAAATGTTTATACATCTACACTCACTTATGGCATCGATAAGCTTCCTACTAAATGACCACCCTCAACACTGACAACTTCATGTATCATCTCTCGCACTTGGTATGTAATACGAGCATCGTTGGCCAGGCTACAAGGACACAGAGACGAAAGTATACCTTCAATTGCGAATTCGAACTCAACACGTCACTTACGAGTTCCCAATTCGGACCTAAATCAATCACAAGCGCAAGAATAGCCTGCACAACTCCTCAAACAGTTAACCCTTTGACCGTCCCGCAATCACGTCCATGCAAAACACATGCATGGATACACAAAGAGCCAATTCACTGAGCGTTCATGATCTCAACTCGCTGCCTCCCTCTTGAACTTCTCTAAGTCTTGCTGCACGAATTCGGCCATCATAGCCGCAAGCGTATCACACCTCAATTCAAAACACATGCTCATCTCTTAACCATCAAAACATCCAACATATCAACCGACAAAGTCTTCCAACACTTAACACCACAGTTGGCGTAGTATTACATACTTGATCTTCGCTAGCTGACCAAGGAATTCCCACTCCCGTCAGGGTACTAGAAAGAACCTGCAGAACATGCAGTGCCTAAATAAACGTTATCTTTGCATTCCACACAAATTTTGACATAGATAGCATCCAATGTTCCAATCACTCGGCTTCAAGCTTGCCGACCTAAACGTAAGCTGAAAGATATATTCACATCTGCAAGTAAAGCAATCTTGCCAACTCAAAAAAGCCCCTCACAAATTCCAAACCAGGGAAGACGAAGGAAAAAATAAATAAATAATAATGAATAATAAATAAAACAACAAAAACAAAACAAAAAATACAAACAAACAAACAAGAAGCAGAAGGAGGAGGAGGAGGAGGAGGAAGAAAGGAAGGAAGGGAGGGAGGAAGGGAAGGGGAAGTAAATTTCAACAAACTGAAACAACCATCAATTTATCATTACTAATGAACTTATCATTACTTATCATTACTAATCAACTTACTGACTAACCTTTTTCGGTCGGACCCTCCGATGACCGTCTCGCATGCTGGTGTGTCTATTTAAATAATTTACACTCACTCCAGAGGCAACTTGTTGCTCGCTGTGCAAACCAGATGTGTCGGTTGTATCGAGGTTTTCTTCCGCCTGCCTCACAGACTTCTGTTTCTTCGAGTTTTTCTGACCTGATATGCTTGGAGACCCTGACGCGACTAGTGCATCTGCAGTAGGTAGTCCTAATATATCAGCTCACCTTACTTGCTAAAAAACGCACCACCAAGCACAACACATCACCTCAAGCATACATTGTGAAACATGTTCCCAACGATGCATCAACTTACTGAGAACTCCATCGGATTCACCAATAGTTACCCAAGGCGTCTCTGCATTCCGTTTCCCCTGTAGAAACCAAGAGGGAATAGGACAGCATCAAACCAAGTGCGGCTCCGCGACTTTGGAACACAATAATCTCACATTCCTTCTAGTAATGCCGCATCACGAACATGCAATATTCTCAACCTTACACGTCTTAAATTACCATGCATAGCCCTACAAATCCATTAAAATTTCACTGCTCACCAAAATATACACTTACATCGTCTGGCAAACGAGATGACAATTTCACTCTACCGTAAAAGACCAACAAACGACTGCAACGCCAGCTAATTGGCTTACCTGCTCGGGTCGAAGATCATAGGCAATTCCAACTATATCCTGCAACATATGTAACATATGACTGCCTGAGAGTGTGCTCTAGGAAACCTTTCGCGAACATAAAATTCCAGTATTCCCTGAATGCAGTCACTAAACCACTAAATTGCTGAGATTCCGAGACACCAAGCGATTATATGAACATATCTGTATATTACCTTTACCGACTTGCCTACATCGTAAAACGACAGGCCTTGATATGACTTGGTCTTCTTTTTCTTCCTCTGCTTACTGTCACCTCCAACCACTTCGCTACTGGGTGAGTCGCTATTGATATCACCTTCACTAGAATCATCCATGGGCAAGTCATCGTCTTGCTGAGATGACAACCCAAACCCCTTCTGTGCCGGAAGTCCAACTGCACCTACACATACCAAACCATGCAAACAGAAAGACCACTATGAAAAGAGCGCTCCAAAAAATTTGCTTATTCGTCAAATCAGTATCCTCAAGCAGTATCACCAACTTCAAAATCACAATCATATATACCCAGAAATAGCCCATCCCACCCACTACAATGCTGCAAAAAATTCTGTCAATTACAGAAAGTCGGCATTACCTGGAGATGTGCCACAATGTGTGCCACGTGGTCGTGAATTCGCTGCTGATGACCGCGCGCGCTTCACTGGGATGCTTCCAGTTAAACTGTTCGGTCCCAAATCTCCACAAATGGAAAGTTTTTCCGCTACAAGAGGTGAGGGTATGCCCAACTCTGAACTCCGAACACCTGACAATCGATATGAAAGTCCTGATAACCACGAAATCCAAAGAACACAGGGAACCAATCTCAGAACGACCAATACCTTCATTTGACACACACTGCAAAATCAAGACAGCTAACCCACGCGGACCCTAAGCACTGATTACACACAATAAACACAGCACGCACACACACCATTTCGTACCTTGTAGCCCACTGCCATTGCTTTTTGCATCAACACTGCCCGTTTTAAATACCTTCCTCCGTTTCTTCTTCGCTATACGAGATCCTTCAATAGTAAACGCAGTAGGTTCGTCTTCCTGAGAACCTCCATCATTCAAGAAATTTCTATAGCTCACACCCCCTCTCGCGCCTGCTTCCTCAGGTGCTTCCGCACCAGCCAGAGCCCCCGCCTCGGTGATTGAAACTGTCTGCCTCTTTTCATACTCCTGCACGCAAGTACAATAATGTATTATCAACCTTGCTCATCCCACCCATTAAAACTTATCCACTTTTATCAACCAAATATCGATTAGAGGGCGCTTGCAATCTTAAACCACGACTCCATACCTTCTCGGACCTAGCGTATTCAGCTTCCACTGCTATTCGATAAGCTTCCATTACTCCAACCGGTACCTTGTAAAACAATGGTACCTGTAAAGTCCTTAAAGAGTCAGCACAACATTGCCTGCAAAACACTCAAAACAAACCATTCCCATTCGAATAACGCGCATTCCGAGCTTATTGTTGTCCTATCACCACTATTCGAGGATACACAATGGACACACAGCATATCCAATTCTTGCTACCCCAGTAATGTAGCTGTAACACTACTAGCACCTAACAAAACAACCGCAACAACGCCCACGCTTCAAACCCTCCCTCCGCCACAACCCGCCATCACACTATACACATTCGTGGGAATGTGATATGACATGCACCTCATGAACTTGCTCCAGAATGCTGATGCTTTCTCGATAACGCTTGGGAGTCGAAGGGACCTCGGCTTGCCCTATCCAGGCGAATCCTGATTCTTTCAAAAGCTGAATAGCATACTTCTGTAACCCACTTGGCTTCTCGTTTCCAGCTTTCTCAATATGCACCGATTTCAAAGATTCCTGATTACGGAAAAAAGAACTCATCACATTCAAGATGCCACAAACATGTTATGTTAGACCCCACGCAATGCTATTATTCCTCAATACTGTATAGGCACTGCTAAATACTCAGTTGCCCGATCGCACTGATGTGAAAAGATTTCATGTTGAATCTAAGAAAAAATGTGAACTGATAATAGTGGAACACCTTTACCTCCTCATTAACAAAAGAATCCACTTCCATTGGAATAACTTCAGTCTCATTACTCCTTCTCTTGGATTGCTCTTTTGTGGAAATTCTAGTTCCGGTTATTTCCTTGGTAGCTTCAACTTCTGCACTGTGCCAAAAATCCTTCACGGCATGAGCTAAAACGTTCGAGATTCTGCGTTGCTCCTTGAGCAAACGTGCTGCCAAAAACTCGTCTTCCCCCTTCTTCATAGCAATTTCCAGACAAACATGGGCAGCCTGATACCTCTTCCACATCCTCTCCTGAACAAATACACAAAGAACTGGAGTCAAACACACGCGCACACTGGATTCTGGACAAGCTCTCTACCTTCCAATCCATCAACACCCCTCACTCAGATTGAAGAGTCATAATGTGCGATGCAACGAAAGGCGGAAACTTGGACAAAATGAACAAGTACTAACACTCCATAGGTACTCAAGAAGCACCTCCTAACAAAATCAGCTAACTTACATTTGGTTGTTTCAGACACAAGATGATGACCGAGTACCTGCCAGAAGTCGTTGGCCATCCATCTCATTTCCTCCAACACAAAGTCCCAATGCGACTTTCGCCGCGAAAGTTCGGCAATCTTCTTCAAAGTCCTCCCCTCCTCGATTAGCTTCCTTTTCCCCTGTACAACCAAATTCATTCGTCGCATCAAAATCTACACCATAGACACCAAATACATGAACCACGAATATTGCATGCTTGTCTTTTCATTCGGAAATTCAGCTCCACCACCTTCAGATGCTCAGCCTTTTCGAGAATGAAGTCTTCGCGAGCCTTATTAGCCAGTTTATTCGTAAGATCGGCGTTACGTCGGTCAGCTTCAGATTGTATTGCTGAAACTTGTCCCTTCTCCCATGGCAGAACCACCCCTGGATACATACAATTTAATGCACCAGAAATACTTGTCGACAGTTCGATGATCCTAGGAGCACCAGCTTGGACCCCCGTTCTAAGTGCCTGAGGATGAGCACCAATGTTACCCTGACCCCTTGACTCCGCCTCTGTTGCGAGGTGGTTGGTCCTGTCTTCCGACACGCCTTCCTCCGAGTTCAAACTCAAGTGATGATTGTTGCCCTTCTTCGCGTCCACTCCTACCCTTCCTCTGTGCGCCATTTTCAATTTATTGCCTCCCCTTGAAAAGGCGGCCTTCTTCACTATCCGCCCATCTTTGTGCGCTAACGCGCCACTCAAACCATCCACAGCACTTTGAATGCAAGACTCCAGCATTCCCTGCACGCTCTGTGCCTCGGATCTGTGGTTCTCTGGCATAATATCATTCGAAGATCCCCGCAAGCTTGCTGCTGAATCGGACACCCTACCAACATCGACCCTAGGGAGGCACAACATAGAACCCACCCTGTCTCGTCTCTCCGTCGCCTGCTCGACAGTTCCTACATTACCTTCAACGATCTCAGAGGCATTTGTGTGCACGTCTTCAGCAGCTGAACCCCCTACCCGATTAGCACCTGCATCACGGATGGACCTCTCCCAAGAGGCGACTGTCAGCCCATGAGTCTCTTGTCTGTCCGCTAGATCATTCGAACGGTCTTTGAAAGTCAGAGATGAAATATCGGAAATTCTCTCTGTAACGCCAACACGGGAATCAACTCGAACATCGAAGGACTGTATGGCCTGAACAGAAGGTGCTGAAGCTTTGTCCCTGGAGCTCAACTCACTTGCGTGCTGCTCCAAGACCGGCCCACATCTTGCTATGATTTCGCCCACGGGCTCATACTGCTGGCTACTAGCTAATCCATTCCACTTGCTTGACAGAGCATGTGTGTTCTGATGTGACAAAACTTGGTAACTCATGTTCACCATAGCTCCATTCTCCACGTCACCAGAAAGAACATCACTCCTCTACCAAACGTATGCCAAGGGAACACGGTACCATTCTTCTGGCAATAACGAAACAACCATTCGCTATGGTTCTAAAGCTACAGAATTACTCCCCAACATGCAACAGACTCGAAGAATGGCTGCAAGTCCACAAAGCCTGACATTCATTGCTCCCCTAAAAATCGACCATCGTCAAATTTAACTTCATGGAATTTACGATGAATACCGCAAGGCTTAGAGGTTATCACATACGCCGACAACCAGGAGCAGAGCATAACCACCTCCTCTAAAACTCCAACTCCTTTCTGCGCTCCTCCTGGGCTCCTCCCAAGCCAACTCAAAATGCAAACGCTCATTCAATTAATCCCGAAACTGCTTCATAATTTGTCGTGCAGTAAAGGTCACATGTGGCAACAGAACGGCCGCTCAAAGTAACGACTTCAGCGAATTTTCCAACTTGAGCATTCTCAATTGTAGCCCCAGTTGGAGAGGACTCACAGTCTCCTATGGCGACTGCAGGGCCAGCTGCTGCTCCCATGGGACTTGGCTCTGCATTAACCAAGCATACACACTCCAGTCCACGCCCAGGGTACTACTTTATGATCATGCACTCTTTTCTCTGTCCCTTCTTTTCTTTTCTTTTGACAAAGCAGAAACTTCTCATGTTCACCTCCAACACAGAACCTGCACTGTCGTGTTCGATCAGAAAAATAGGGCATAACCCAGTAGACACCATGGCCAGCAACAATGTGAAAGGTTTCCCCAATACACCAACAAATACCTACTACATAAAGAGTAGACTAGACTACCCGTACATGGGAACATTCATTCACACGCAAGTAAACATTGTCACAATGCACAACCTGTGCAGCGTAGAGAACTAGTAAGCAAATCTTTCAGACTAGTTTCCAAAAAGAGAAGAAGCTACATGCGCCCAGTCAATATGCATTACACTGCTCCAGCTGACAGCAAGAGCTTCATCAAGACAACACCAGCAACTGCCACAGAACATCTCAGATGGAATCTGAGCCAATGCACTACCTAGGTTTGGTGAGGAGAATTTAGTTCCACTACTTTAAATGTTTAACAATTATCTATAACCATGAAAATCTGGCAGCACGCTTACTACGTAGAAATCACCAGAGAGGAAGATAATTCAATTTGTCAAGGACACGAGGGAATAACAAAGCTAGACGCAGCAATTTCACGGCCACCATACTCCTCCAAAATATTGAACCGTGCTGATTACAGTGAAGCAATAGATAATGTATTTCCTTCGTAAAGCTCATGTATCCGAGTTCTCACAAAACACACTCCGTTGCCTTCTCGTCAACCTCAGGTACACCGCTTAAGCATCGACACAATCCCGACTCAATCAAGCAGCGTCCCATTGTACAAACCAACATCACGGCATACTTACAAGTTGATCCCAAGGTGCTCTTTGGATGTTTGAAAGAGAGAAACTTCTCATCCCACCAAAAACACATGTCTAAGAGGAGGAAATAAAACTGATGATAAAGACGATAATAACAACAGCATGATTGTGTATAAAAAAAAATTAAATTAAATTAAACGCAAGACATGTGCACCAACGAGCTGAGTAGTGCAGAAGCCTGTCAAGGTCATGATAAAACTAACAAAGCAGCTAGAACTAGGCCCAAAAAAATAAAGCAAACTTCAGTGGAAGCGTCTTCCAGTTTCCCATGCATCACAAATGGCCATGGGCTAATAGTTTCCCAGCAACCCCGACATTTCACAAAGACTGATCAAAATTAGGAAGAAACCCCTCAAAATCCGACGCTTAAGGGCCCCACCCAACTTCGAAGACGGGTTTCATTCACGAAATAATCAGAGGAAGGTCACGAATTTCCACAGTAATGCAAACCCCACAAACAAAACCCTAGAATGACAGAAATCGGAATTATCCACAATACTGTAACAATAAAATCCGCAATTGGAATGGCGAACTTGAACGAACGGGACACCTAAAACTACACCGGATACCTGCGACGAATCTCCTCGCAAGAAACATCGATTTCTCAAAGGTCCCAATGCTATCTAGACACATGCCCCTAATATTCGATGCAGAATCACCCCCACAACACCCCACATATCAACGATTCTTCAAATTCAAAACTAACATACAGGGTGTGACCTGATTGCGCTAAGGAATCGCATGCATTACGTCGCAAATGCTTCCCAAAACGATTGTGGAGGTCGTCGACGACGACGACGAAGACGGAGAGGCTCCTTCGGGTTTGGAAGCCCAGCCCTTCCACCCTACTACTTCCCGTCGTAGACTATGCTCTCAATACAATACGGTCATCTCATAAAATACTGTATGCGCGTAGTCCTTCACGTTCCCTTTTAATACATTACAACCGCAAACTGAAGTCTGGGGTTAACAACGATCGTTCCTCTAGCGCTCTCGAACCGTATCTTATACGGATGTAATATTTTCGATTCATTCGTCGTCGTATAATGATACCGATTCAGCCGACAAAAAGACTTTAAGTCATTTCCGAAGCTTGCTCTACCGACATCAATCAACGGAAGCTCCAATTCTGGAAAACTGAGGAGGAGAATAGCTCACCGGCTATTAGTATCGTGATATGCTTTATAGGTCCGCTCATCATTGTTGTTGAATAATTTTTCGATTTGGAGATATGAAGGAACAGAATGAAGAGATGAATTCATTAGAAAACTGGCGATTCATTGTTCGTGGCAGAGTTTTATTGAGTATTGAGTGCCTCAACAAAGCTCTGTCATGCATTCAGTATGCAAATTGGAGCCATGAATGGCTTAGCAAACATGTAGGGTTACATTTTTAAGCTAAACAAAAAATAATAATAAAGATAAAAATAAAATAATT